TGAGAATATATATATATATATATATATAAAATGTCATCCTGGTGGGGTGAGAAATAATGGTGGGGTGAGAAAGCTGAGCAAATCACCTTCACAGACTGTGACAGGCTATTTGGCAGTTAGGCATGTTCTTCAAATGCAAATCTGAACACCGAGGTGCTGCCCATAACAGTTCTGCGACTCCAGTGAGGTGCGTAATAACAGAGAAAATAACAGGCGTGAAGCAGGAGTGCACCACCACTGCATTGCCTTTTAAGTTCAAGGCAATGTCTTCCCCCAGGAGGATCTGCTCAGCCAAGGCAAAACTGCTGTAACATTTTCACACAAGACATGGCACTGACAAATTACTTGGCTTCAAGTCAGCAAGGCTGATGAAAGCAGAGGTAGTCTGGAACGTTTCTCCACCCTATGCCTGGGCAGACCAGAGGTGCCAGCGATGATTTAGAAGAGGCTCCACACCAAGGTGTAGCTGAAGGGTCATATGGGACCTGGCAGAACATTGTGTGGAGCAGCACAAACCTTACCCAGAGTGACACATCGTTCCCTGACACGTGGAGAGCACCCCTCGTAACCACAGGGGATTGACTCTGGCCTGAATTGTCTCCGGCAGGAGATCATATTAAAGTGAGGGCTTCAGAAGGCTCCACTTACGAATGTTTATCAAGCACTTTGGGTGGCAGATGGAAGATGCTAGGGAGGTGCTAAATACTGTTGCCGTTTATAAAGCTTAACCTTTAAAAAGCAGCCTGTTTCAATTTTAACTGTTGCACATTTTTCACAAGTTTTGTGGTATTAGCTGTGGTTCTTATGCCCTGGCACAGGACAACAGTGTCGAGATGGAAATACCATATTCAGAACAAAACCCAGGTTTTGTGTACTTTTTGCTGTAACAGGGAAGAAGAAGTACCACAGAGTGCATGAAAAGCAACTGCTATGGGTAGACTGTGGCTGCTTTGAGTTTCCTTTGGTTTTTTTGGTATTTACAGGCTGCTTGCTGACGTTTACTTTTGAGATGCTTTCAAAATATATTTTTTTATCATGTATGAGGTCTACTCATAAAGTGGCTAGGAATTCAGGCTTATTGAGGTGTGCTCCCTAGCGCGGTACTGTGATGTCTGTTTCTAAACGTGCCTGTATACAGAATCACAGGTGAGCATTTTCTTTGAATTACCTGGGGAATCATGTTAAGCCCCATTTCTTAAGGCATTTTCAGTCACTTGTTTAACTTACATAAGATGGGTAATCCTATTGACATTAATGAATCTGTGTTTATGCATTGTAATTTTTTTCTTAGTGGCATGTTTTTATGGCAGTTCTGGGAGATGATCATCTTAATAAAACAGAAGATCAGTGTTCTCTGATACCCTCTAGTGGATGTTAATGAATGTTCAGATAACTCACATGAGCTCTAGAGAGCAACGTGTCCTAGATGGACAGTCTAAGGGTTGAGGGCTGGGAAAAGGCCTTGAATTCTTATAATCCCAAACAGCATCGCTGGGCTGTGTGAACTGCCCTGTCACTCCGCTCACGTCAAATTATCTGTTGATGTCAAAGGAACTGGAAGAGTTTGGCCAAGTATCTGCTGCCACAGCCTGTATCAGTTATGGGAATTTATGTTAAGTTTCGTACAAAAAAAGTGAAAAATGTGCTTCTTGTAATGGCTCTTATCGATGAAGTATCTCTGGCATGTAAGTGACCTGTTGAAGGGCAGCCATCAAAACATCAGAACAGAGCTGGTCACTAGAGAGCCTCGTAGCCTGAAAACCCTATAAGGAAAATATTTTTTTCCCATAAAAAAGCAGCTAGAACTGTGTTTTCTTTTGCTTATCTCTTGTTCACTTTACTAAATTCCAGTCTTTCCCCTCCGGAAGAGGGCTGTGGATGATTGCATTTACTGAAGTGAAGAGAGTCCTGGGATCAAAGGCAGAGCCTGAGCGTGTTGTGGAAGGCTGTGCTTGTCTTACTTCTTCTGCACGTTGTTGTTGCTCTCTGGGTCCTGCAATACCCCAGTGAACACGGGGCAGCTCAGACTGTCAGTGAACACTTGCTCCAGACCAAACGAGGCTGTTTTCTCTGCGCTAGTGTGAATTGTGCGGTGTGACACACTCAGCTAGACCCTGTGCATCTGCCAGCCACCCACCTACCCGCTGGCTTTTTGAGTGGGGCCCTTAATGCATAATCTTCCACGTGCATGAGAGAGATGTGGCCAGTTATTACCTTTTCTGTAGAATTTATCTCAGGGATGAGGCAGCTAACTGAAATGCGGTTATATGTCTTTCTGTGCTTTTTTTTTCTCCCCAGACTTGTTTCAGTGAACAGAAGAAGACGAGTAACCTTGAGGCCTATGTGAAATGGTTCAATAGACTCTGCTATCTTGTAGCAACAGAAATCTGCATGGTAAGTGGAAAAAAAGTATGTGGCATATTTTGCCATGTGCTTGAAGTACTACTTCGAGATTGTACATTAATAAGGAAACCTGGGGATTTATTTCTTATGACCCAGCTGAGCATCTGACGGTAAGTTTTAATAATATTGCACTTGCAGAAGCGACCTGATAAATGACAAACATATTGCAAAACAGAGCTGGTGACACACGGGGGATACGCTGTTCTCTTGATGTAGTAGGAGCACAGTGTGGAATAATGAACCCTGCAGGGGAAAAGAGAGGAAAAAATGCCTTGAATTATCCTGCGAGATTTCTGCTGGGAAAGATTCTAGGGGAGCGGCATTTGTTATCTGTTGTCTTAAAGCTCCACTGTGCTTGTGAATTCCCATTGCACGGCTCTTTGTCCTGCTGCCCATTGCTGTAGCTGTGGCAAGTGAGTTTTTAACCAGGTAGTGGTTTTAGTTTGTGTAACTTGGCCCCATCAAAATGAAATGAATGTTTTCTCCTTTGAAAAGGGTGTGGAAGGGAGGGATATAAATAGTATAAACAGCCTAGATAGCCTGTGACTCAAAAGCATTAGCATTTGAGGATCATCTTTAGAAAAGGTGGGGTGTTTCCAGTCCAATTAAAATGTGTATTTAAAGTGCAAGTTACCATTTGGCCTGGCCGTACTGCAGAGAGGGACAGAAGAGGAGAAGGGGATTAATGGGGTGAAACAAAGTCTTTCTGGGACAAAGATGCTGCTGTTACATGGGTGTGAAATCCTGCCTTTAGGAGAGTCTGTGCTGAGGTGCCCACTGGCTTGCAGGAGGCCAGCGGGGAGCTGAGCTGCTGCTTCAGGGCTGCTGGGACTGCCTGTTCCACCACTAAGACATTAACTGAGGCAAGCCTGGGAGTTGCTTTGAATTTCTTCATGTGTCACTGCAGCAAAAGCTTTGATTTTAGAGGCTGCAAGTCACCAGCATCCACTGGATTGCTGGAACAGAACGGGGCCGGTGACTGGTAGCAGATGGTCAAAGCTGTGTGCGGACCCGTGCTATGAATGGAACAAATGTCTGAGATGCCCTCTGATTCTGCATATGCTTATTACAGATATTTGTTTGCCTTAATTTGCAGCCTGCGAAAAAGAAACAGCGAGCACAAGTAATTGAATTCTTCATTGATGTTGCCCGAGAGTGCTTTAACATAGGGAATTTTAATTCGCTGATGGCAATCATTTGTAAGTACAGCTTCTAACCAGGTCTCTCCATCAGCTGTCACAGATGAAAAAGGGAACTCTTATCCATGGCTCTCTTTTCTTCTTTCTCACTCATAGCTGGAATGAACATGAGTCCAGTGTCCAGGTTAAAGAAGACTTGGTCAAAAGTGAAAACAGCCAAATTTTTTATTCTTGAGGTAAGAAAAAAAAAAGGTGCTGATACACTGCTTGAATTACATTCTAGATTTTTTTGTTTGTGAATTTTTACATTGCTATCCAGGAGTTTCACAGGCAGAGGGCCAGTTTCTAACTGAATTTTTGCAGGTGTGGTGGGAAACGTGTGAAGCTGCTGATACATAGAGGAGAATCAGAGCATTCAAATAAATAGGAGGGGGAAGAAAAATAAAAATAAAAAAAATATGGGGCTATATGCAAGCCACAGTGCTTCCACCAGTGCTAGTTTTGTTTGGCCACAGACACAATGCTGAGCATAAAGCTCCCAAGCTATACTTTGGACACTGAGTGAACAAGGCCCAAGGTTATTTTTTGTATTGAGGATACCAGGATTTGACACAGATAAAATGTGCAGTCCTTATTCTTCACAAAAAAGCTCAGAAAGCTGTTACTAGAAGAATCAAAGGTACAAACAGCCATGATCTGTAGATCTCACTGTATCTTTGATTCATGGGGTTTTGAGTGTATGTGGATTTTTTTACAAGTGAGCGTAAAGCTGTCTTCAGAGGACCCAGGTCGCTTTCTAACCAACATGTCTTCTTTTGTGCATGTAGCACCAGATGGACCCCACTGGTAACTTCTATAACTACAGAACAGCCTTGCGGGGAGCTGCTCACAGGTCCCTCACCGCACACAGCAACAGGGAGAAGGTAGGTGTGACCACAGCCCATTTATCTCCGAAAGGACCGTGTGCATTGCTGCTGAGAGTCAGTGGCTCGAAGACCTGATGCAAATGCTCCTCCCTTCCATGGCTCAGCAATGCAAGGCACGTGCACTGCAAAAAACAGATAGACAGGATGTTAGCGCAGGATCCCCCTGTTTTGTGCCCAGCTCTCTTTCTTGTTCGTTTTCTTATTTCTCCATTCAGTTCTCTTTTTTTGTTTTGTTTCATGAAGGAGGGTTTGTTTCCAACAGTGCAATTGCACATAGTCATAAATAGGTAATCTCTGTGCAAAGCATAGCTAAGGTAAAGTAGATAAGGCGTAAACGAGCATAACGTGGAATTTAGTATTCATTCACTAGAGGAGCCAGGCCAGATGCTAATCTCACATCCCTGTGAATTCGATGTAAATCTGCTGAAGCTAATGGAATCTCACAGCGTTTACAGTGGAACGAGATCAGCATCTGGTCGCAGGCTGATGCAGCTGCAGTGGGGGTACGCTGAGTTGCTCTGAAAAGCGCTTCGCTGTGCGCAGAAGAGACGATGGCTTTGGCTGTTTGTGGCTGGCAGAGAAATTCTCACACACTGCAGCGAGGACCCGTCTGTCTGAGATGCTTCTGCACTTTAGTTCTGCAACCATCATAAATATTCAAACCAGTTGCTTTATTGTTTGACTTTATGTCCTGTGGAAGTTATCAATCTCTGCCCTATCTCTACCCCTAGCTGGTTAAGACTGAGGGCAGAGAGGTTATTAGATTGAAAGAAATCTGTTTTACATATAAGAAAAAGCCTGTATTTTGTTTCTGTTGTGTAGATAACATTAGTTCAAAAAAATGCTCAAGCATATGATTTGGTAGCTACTCACATCAGGTATTTTACAGTGTCAGATACAGCAGATAATGTAATTCTCGCCTAAGTCCCCCACGTGACACCAGCCTTCTGGCACAAAGAGCCCTGCCTGATTTCATCACCTGCTCCATCCTCACCCTCAGGATGCTCATGCAGGACTGCAGCACAGGTTGTAGGAGAAGGATCTCAGTACAGCCAGGGAGGAACCTCTGCCCTCAGTCTGTGCTGTTCACACCCAGCCTTTCTCTCAGTGTGTAAAGAGCAGAGCTGTAACTACCAGTTACTTGTTCAGGAGCAGGCTTGTAAAAAGACATGGCAAGGCAGCTCCCAAAGCCGAGAGATGCAACACGGCGACAGAAATAAACCTGCCACAGTGCAGGGTGGGAGAACTGGTGCTGAAGAAGGGCTGATGTTTCATGCAGAATTCAGAGGGGTGCACGTGTTAGGAGCTATGTCTGGTTTCATCTCTGCAGTCAGCTGACCTGTACCACCTCCAAAATTAAGTCGTTCCACTGGGAAACCCTGCGTTGTGCTAATGGCATGTCTCTGGCTTTGAAATGTTGGGAGTGCGTACAGTGTGGTGCTGTGTGTTGTTGCCATCTGATACCACGGAGAAAGAACATGTCTGATCTCATTAACGTTCTTCTTTCTGCAGGAGGCAATTGTCCTTCAGCATGTGGGTGGGTTGGATGGCATGGGGAGGGGGAATCAAAAGAGAGTGAAACATGAGTTTCTGGCACTAACCCAAATTTTATGCTAGCAAAGTGCCTGGATTGAAGCCAGCTTTAGAGTGTAACTGTACCCACTTTTGTTGCTTTTCCTCCAGAAATTTGCAAAACAGAACATACAGGATAATGATTTTACTGGGGAAATAAATGGTGACCCAAAGACAGAAATCCCCGGGAAGTGCGTAGAGAATTGGTGTCCTAGGGTATGTCTTTGACGCCTTTTCGATGCAGATGAGAACGAGCTTTCCCCGTGCTCTGAGCTAACTGGTGGCTTTGTAGCCGTATTAGCGTGGCATTGAGCCCACATTCGTATACCTTCCCTCTCAGCAAGGCTTTTCGTTTATGTTTAGTACCACTAATGATGGTGACCTAGCTTCCAGGCAGCACCGAGCAGGCAGAACAAGTTCGCATCTGTCTGCAAAATAAACGTAGACAGAACCTGGCAGTAATTTCTAGCTGGGAATCAGAGTCTGGCTCTAACCCTCTGTATCTTTCTACATTGTAGGACCATACTGGTTATAGAGCTATCATCATTTTTAGTAGAAAACAAACCATATAGATGAATTGTATCCTTTACCTCATTGATTTAGTTTGGATGATAGAAAATGAATCCTGAAACACATTTAGCTCAGCTTGACTAGGAATTGCTCCACCCCACCCTGATAGGAGGGCTCAGGATTTGGGGTATGATAGGCTGTGGTTTGTTTCCGTTCCTACATTACATCAGTGGGATATATCAGGATAATGCCAGTGGCTCTAGGAGTGTCAGTCCAGGCTTTTTTATGGCTACTACACTGGCATAGCAGAGTTTATCTATTGCTGTCCCATAAAAAAGGCTGTAGAGATGCAGATCTTGAGCAGTTTACTCTGTACGGTATTTTAGCTGGAACAGAAATCAGCCTCCATTTTCACAGTAAGAATTGCTAGTGCCTTGTAGACTGCCTGTCTCAGAAAGTGTTTTCATATCCACGCTCACACTCACTGTTGCATTGTGAAGACTGTAGACTGGAAAATAACAGCCACCAGTCCTGTTCTAGGTCCAATTCATATCCCGTTACAGCTGAGGTACAGAATGAGAGGCATTAAATACTTAACTGAAGGATGGATCCATTGGCTGGTCTTGCATGCACTTTAATTTTGGTGCACACGTATCAAACTACAGTTCCGCTAATTTACAAATAGGACAGTGGAAACATTTGGACACTCTCCCGTGCGATGTGCTTTCCTCAAAGTTCATGGTGATTAAGTTTATACTTAGTGGCTTAAAAGACACGTGTTGCTGCCACAGAGGTGGCTGCTGACCTTAGAGCTCACACCCTCCAAGGGGCCTGTGCTGGAGAGGTAGGTAGACTCAGATTTGAATATCGAATCCCAGAGCCTTGGGGATGAGCTTTGTCGTGCACTGGTGCTTTGTGTTATCTTTCTTTTCCCTTTGAGTTGTGACAGAAGAGGGCCTGAAGGGAGGCTCCTGCACTCCATGTCTCTGCTAAAGTGCTGGGGATGTGCTTTGGAAGTGCTGTTGCTGCTTTCTGCTGTAGAACATCTGGCGTCAAATTTACTTCTCCTGTAATTCCATTAATTTCAAGAGTTTTACGTAGAAGTAAACTTCTGTAGCAAATTATAACCTGACTCTGATGAGTTAGAGAGAAGGCACGGATTGCTGCTCTATGCCACTTTGGCCTGGCTGATGCCCAGGGCTTATTTTGGGTGGTACAGTGATCTCTCTGGCTACTGCTGGCAGTTTGCTGTCAACTAACAATATTTTCAACCCTACTGTCTGCAGGTTAATTTGGAGAAGCAGGTTTTTACTAATCAGGCACCAGGAAGGAAATTACATGCCTCAAGAGGTAGCCATGCATGGAGCTGTTGAAAATGAAACAGCTTCTGATTAACTGTTTGTAGACAAGTCCTTGGTCATCAAATTTTATTCTGCCTTTCCTTGTTCAGGGACAATACTGGTTCTTTCGTTCCCAGCTGTCTTTAAATTGCTTGACTTGTGTATTCAACATCTTTGCTTATAAAGACCCAGCAGAGAAGGAAAGAGTTCTGCAATTTTTATTTTGCTCTTTGCTGTCTGATCTTGTCATCAAACAGCTGATAATAAACTGGGTTATTAGCATTTTCTTTGTCAGGTTGTTCTGCTCAGTGGACATTGTGTTCAGTTCATGCTGATTTCAGCACGTGTTCTCCTGATGGGTAAAGGTGTCTTTGTACCCTTTTGCTTGCCTGTCACTGTACTCTGAAAGGTTAATATTTGTTTTCCACTCTCTCCTGATTGAGTTCTTCTTCCATGAAGAGAAAATACTGAGCTGGAAAGATAATAGTTATGTCATTTCCCTTCACAGATTGTGATCCCCTTCTTCAGCCTGTTGATCAAAGACATTTATTTCTTGAATGAAGGATGTGCTAATCGCCTTCCAAATGGACATGTCAACTTTGAAGTAAGATCTGAAAAATATTTTTATCTATTCCGTTCTGATAGCACTATCTCAGTCCTTTTGCCTGCGATTTCAGTGCAGAACAACAAAGACTGAATATACCACCGTGGGCAATCTCAAGTGACTGTGTGAAGGTTAAACCAATCACAGAATGTTTTTTAAAAGAATTAATATGTGTATTTTACTTAAGCATTACAGGCAGATCATCTTAACATCCTTGGTGTCAGTTAGCTGCTAGAAATATAGTGTCGTCAGAGTAAATGACTATACTTATGGCTTGGAGGGGAAGAAGACTTTTCCAGAAACCATGGAAAAATATTTTTCTTACATACACACATAAACGAGTCAGTGTAAGATGCTTTATATTTTATCTGCCTGGTTTTAGCTCTTTCTCATTTTTAATAAAGAGGTTTGGCAAAGTAAAACATAAATTACTTGTGGGCATTAAAGAAAAATCAGAAGACAAGCAGAATTACATGTAGAGTACAGAGTCAGTGTGTCCATGAGGTAAATGGCGTGCCACTGATGGAAGGATTCAAATGTGTTATCTCCTGCCTGTAGGTTTTACACAGGATTTCTATTAAATGCAGTAGAAGGATTTATATTCCCCCACAGCCCTGGCACTAGGTAGTCTTAGTCACATATCCTGAGTAACCCCAGTTCTCTGCTGGGACAGGCGGTTTCACATAGCTCTCTTCTCCTAAGGTCCCTGTGGTTGGCATGAGGGATCCTGGATCCTGGTCTTCGGGTTAGATGTGGTTGTTTTAGTGAGATAATCTTCCTGTGTCTGAGTGGAATGGTTTTATATTTACAGAAATTTCTGGAACTGGCTAAGCAAGTAGGAGAATTTATAACATGGAAGCAAGTGGAATGTCCCTTTGAACAAGACCCTAACATCATCCACTACTTGCACACTGCTCCCATTTTTACTGAAGATGGTAAGATTCTGTACAATCTCCAGTCACTGAAAATATGTGTCTTCATCACCACTAGTGAACACCCATATCCGTTCTTTGGTGATCTCTCTCACTGACCACGTCTGGTTCTTTCCAGGCTTTCCAGTCACGCAGCTTGTTTATCCCCAGTCTATCAACGTGTTTCTGCACATAGAACTTTCTGGCTCATGAAGCTGCTGCCTGATCACTTTCCTTTTGCGCTGTCACGGAAGTGTGTTGTTGCGATTTTTGTAATCACAAAAAAAGGCCACACCACCGTGTCATGGGCTGCTCTGAATGTCGGCTCTCCCTTAGCCACTCATTCTGTGATTGATGGGGCCAGAACTAATCTGTTCTGCAAACTGACACTGTCATCTCTCCAGTGAACACAGCCCGGGGCCATGATAGTCCGGCTGACCTCCTCCACTACAGCAAAGAAATATGTCACCTACAGAAAAGAATTTTTAAGAAAATCTTTTCTGGTAATTAATTTAAGCCCTAGCTAGGAAAGCCCTGTCTGGAAATTGTTTCTCTGATTGTCTTTTTATACTTACCTGTCCTCTTCAATTTGGTATCCAGCATGTCAGACTGGGTCCCTTCATATTGGTTTGTATCAGTTGCTTCTTGGTGCGTTGCCATGCACAGAATTGTCTATAGCAATATTCCCGTAAGCTATACTGGTGTTTGGTTTATTTTTCCTTAATTCTGTAGGCGGTTTTCTGTAATAATCCAAGTTAATCAGACCAGACAGCTTTTGTTTCACAGACTACTTCAGACATAAAATACAGCTTCAAAAATCTTGCCTAAATCCTAAGAATGACTGCCAAAATGGAATAATTAATGTGATTGTAGTAGTAAGTATTGAAAGGAGATAAGGTGGAGGCATTTGTTCTGGTTTTAGGCTCTAAAGGGCCACAAAGCGGGTGTCAGGGGTAAAAGTACAGTTTTCAGGCTGCCGAACCAAAAAAGGGTGACCTCAACCCACTAATTGCAGATTTTCTCTCCGGCCCTCCCCTACATTTTTGCTGCTTTGGTGAGATGCCCTTTGCAGAAGCCCAGCAGACCTCTCCTGTTCCCCAGGGGAGGTGCAGGGCAGAAAGACCTGCCCTGAGGAAAAGGGGGGAGACCGTATCGGAGCGATGCAGCGGTGGGGTGTGAAATGCAGCTGTGCTGAGCCTGTCACAGCATGGGCCAACACCAGTGAATATTAAAATGCAATTGAATTGTAGCACAGAATTCTGTAACACAGAATACTGACGTGGTTCCAGCGTTAAAGAATAAAGCAGCTCTAAACAGTCAAACATGTGAGAACCCAAATCACAGCCTACTTAAAAAAAAATCCTGTAAAGACAGTTAGGTATTAGTGCACCGATAGCTCTTGCAGAAGAGACTCTACAGCCTAGACACATTTTGCACATTTTGGTGTCATAAAATGCATCCCATAGTGCAAATTTTTGCAGAAAAAAGGTCCTGTTTATTTTTTTCTACTGTGTTCCTTCTCTGGTTTCTGTAACTTGTTCTTACCTTGAGGTATTGCCATAAGCTTTAAAAAGATGGAGGAAGATGAAGCTGTGTTAAGTGATGGGAACATCCTTAATTTTAAAAAGTTTATTTATCAGGCTATCAGCTCTCACTTTCTCTCTTTTTTAAGGTTCATATAACAGGAGTGCTGTGATGGAGTAAATAGGCCCAGATGTCTATATGCAAAACCAGAGATGATTTAACTGTTTATTGTTGTTGTAAGGAGGTCATGGTAGCATGTTTTAACTCTGGGCTCCTTTACTGTTCCATCAGAATTAATCTAACAGCTTCCCACGCGTAGATGTGGGAGCTAAACATCAGTGTCCTACTGATTACCAGCTACCTGGTGTTAAACTTTCTCTTGCCGTGTGAGACACTACAGCACATGCAGGGTTACTGTTGCTGTTGGAATAACACGTCTTTGCCTTTTCCAGGTTTGTATCTGGCTTCCTATGAAAGCGAAAGTCCGGAAAACCAGACAGAAAAAGACAGGTGGAAATCCTTAAGGTAACAGCTCATTTTATCAGCTCCTTTCTAAAGACCCTCCAAAACGCTGCACTGATAGTCATAGCTTGTAAAGTGCTGGCATTTAAAATGTGATGTCTGATGGAGGTCTTTTCCATTTAAGACTAATCAGAGAGGTGAGGCTGCACTGATAAAAGCTAATTGTAATCTTAAATTATCCACCACGTAAAGAATACCTTCCACTTGTGCCCTTACGCAGTGCTCTACCCAGGCAGACGAGGCCCGGTGTAGGTGAAAAATGCCCTAGGTTAACTGGATCTTCCTACAGTTTTCATCTCTTACAAAAGATCTCTAATGATTTGATGTGAGAATCTGAAGAGAGTGATTTTTAAAACAAGCAACTCACTTTTATATCTGCCTTTTTTGGTTTTCATTGTTACAGATCCACTATTTTAGGAAAAACTTGAAGACTAAGAGATTATTGCAGTAGGTCAAGGAAAAGAAATCCGCAAACATTTTGCACTACTGATTCCAAAGATGCCTGTTTGGGATTTAGACAATTTCTTTTGTTTGATTTTTTTGTTGGGTTTTTTTGGACTGCCTGACGTGATGGATGAACTGGATTCATCCACTGAAATCAATAGAACTGTGTGCACAATGACGCTTTTCTAACTATGAGACAGAGAGAGGAAGGACAAACAGACTATTTGTGGCTGTGCCCAAACTGCATCAGGATCACTGTAACTTTTGCCTCTGAAGGAAAACGTAAGAAAATCAGGAGCATGGAGAGCCATGGCACTGCAAAAAAAAAAAAAAAAAGAAACGAAAAGTATAAAAAAAGGAAAGCAAACAATCCACGTGAATTTTTCAGAAGCAGGTGCTTCAGACAGCTCTTTAAACCCTCTGAGGATTGTAAAATTAAATCAAACACAAGACACAGCAGCAATCTGGTTAATTGCTGAATGAAGAAAGAACTTAATCTTACATTAGCAGTCCCCTGGCCTTGTTGAACAAAGCACTGACTGCTACAGGTATAAGCTTCCAGCGGATGAAAACCGACGTCGCTCACTCATATCTATACGTGTATGTCACATATAGACCACATCAGCATGGGACAGTCGTGCAAACCCCGTGAGTTTTTACAGCGAACAATCTAAAGTAGGACTGTTGCTTAGTTATTCTTCCCACCCCTGTTGTTGCTTTTCTTACTGTGAATCTTGGCAGATCTGAGGAGGGCACAGAGTGCAGGCAGCACTGCTTAGAGACCCCACCCCAGGCACATCCGAAGTGAAGAAACAAATTACTTTGGACTCGGCTTCCCTCTATTTAATGTATGTAGTGAATTGCCTAATTTTGTCGATGCTGGGTTGCGTCTTTTAGAGGGGTTTAGCACACTGCAAGAAAAAAAGATACTGCATTACTATTTGAGAAAAAAAATCTCTTGGGTTCCAATTAGTACACTATTTATTTTGCAACGTGATACTAAGAGGATAGGAAATGGGGTAATTGCTCTGAATTTGGGAACTCCGTAGTATACTTTAAAAAGATAAAGGGTTTCAGACTAGAATGAATGCACTAAAGAATTTGACATTCATGAGCAGATAACCATTTTTATCTTTTTTAGTTTGGGGATCTGGACCATGTTCACCATTTCCTTGCAGATAATATGAAGTAGGGACTATGTCTTGTGTTTAAAGTTGTACAGTAATCAAGGTGCTACTGTAACACATATATTAAATTATAATGAACTATATGGATATTAGTTTCAAAACTAAGCCCTAACAGTAGACTAATTGCTTGTATGTGGAATGAATGTTCCTACCTGCCCCAGAAAAGACCTAAAACCGCTTTAATGAAACCTAAATACCACATGGTATTGAACTTTGCATTTTATTACTGACTTGGTGCTGGCCTTTTCAAGTGTTCCACTCTTTCTCTGTCTGCAACAGAAGGATATAATCCTTCCTTTGAGATAGGTAACAGTTTTATTTCAATACAAGGTGGTTCCAAGTGGCTGTAGTGTTTTGAAGAATTAGGCTAATCACAAAACCTGTCTGTGTTGGCCTGTGTGTTTAGCCAAAACACTGGAACTGTTCCTGCCCTCTGCCAGACCTCAGTAGTTATCCATGCCTGAGCGAGTTGTCGAAATGCGAGGCACTGGTGAGCTGGTGTTTGAGGGCAGCTCTGATGTTTAAGCTGATCAGGAGTGCGGCAGCCTGAGACACGCGAAGGGTTCGTGGTGCCTGCCGTGCGGTTCTTGGGTTGGGGTTTGGAATGGGAAAACCTGCGTGGGCTGGATCACGGTCACCTGGAATCCACTGCTCTCACAGCTGCTGAGATGAGCAGGACAGTTCTTCTGGATTTGCATATTTAGGGGCTTGAGGCAGAACTTCGTTCAATTCTCCTTTTCGTATGGGTCTCCCAGTGCATGAATTCAAGCAGGGGGAACATAAAAATGCCATGTGTTTATTCAAGCTTTGCAGGGAAGAAGTAAGCGAAAGGACGGTACAACATCATTCCAGCCAGGGTATGATCACTATTCTGGTGATACTGTTAATATGTTTTTTGTTAATTTTTGTACATGAGCTGAAAGCTATACTGAGAAAACATGCACACATAGCCATTCCTTCAAGCAGAACCATTTCCAAAATGATGCCATTAAAAGCCTGTTAAATTCCAACCAAATCCAGAGCAATAACCATAAACATAACTACAACAGTGCTAATGCTTAAGTGTTTGCTAAATGGTAATTTTTCCCTTAATGTCTGCATCTTTTTAACAGGCACAGTGTGACTTCATACTGGAAATGTTTTTTTATTTATCTGAAACCCAGTGTGGGTGGATGGGCCCTTTCTTAAAACCTGCTTTTAAAAATGCAAATCTTCACTCCTTCTCTAATGAGCCAATAGAGACTGGTACAGCTGAGATTTTAACACCCTGAAGATGAATCAAAATGTGATTTCTCATGGTAATATTTATATTCTTGGGCACCTTCCATGAATCCAGGCAATATTGTAAGTATGAGCTAAATTAGATCTCATAAAGTTTATCACTGTTGCAAACTAAACCACTCTCATAGCCCAAAACTTTCAATCTTCGGTGCTTAAAGTGGAAACATAAAGGTCAGATTTAGGTAGGTATTAAGGGTTTAGTGGGACTGTCAGAAGCACTAAATTATCTTCAAGCCTCTGTGTAGTCATACATTTAACAGGTCTTTTTATCAAAGGTGCTAAACGTCCTCATCTCTTGGTGAATACTGAGACAAGTACTGCTTTATAGAGGTGTGGGGCATATTGATCTGTAGTATTTGATCTCCAGACATCTTGCAGAACTTGGAAGTACAGAACAAGTTAAAATGAGAAGATGGCACTTTTAAAAACCAGACTTAAGGAATCATAGCTTGTCTTCACATAATTTTGTAGCTAAAATCCTGATTTTTTAAATAGAAACACTGTAAAGCCTTAAGTTACAACTGTCAGTTGCATTTGTAATTTGTATTTGGCCTAACGAGGGGGTACAGCTCCAGACAGGAGAGTGCTGAGACCAACAGGGTTCACAAAGCACGAGTACAATTGAAAACAAAGGATGACCATTTGAAGAATAGTTTTCTTCAAAAAATGTATTAACAATACATGAAAATGAGAAAAAGTATCTCCCCCAATTATTGTTTTCTTGCTGTAAACGTTTAAAGAACTCCTCCCATGCTGAAAAGAAAGCAGTATCACTTAACACCAGGCACTAAGCCACTGTAAGGCATGTAGTCATTAGACTAACATCTAGATAAGTTACTAGTCGTAACATCATGGCTTTCTAATTGCACTTTTTTTCAGTGGCTTTGGCTCTCTGACAGCTGCTCGAAATAATGCTACACAGAGAAGAGAGCAAAAGTAGACCCATAGGTCTATGGTGTTAGTGTCAAAAACCTCAGCTAGGAAGACGTGTGTATATGATGCGAAGTCTTCAGAAGCATTAACTTCTGTGTGTGCAGCAGTATTTTCAAAGACCCAGACAGACAAAATCACATCTGCGCCTCCTCTAGTGTAATCGGAGTGGTAGCAGAAGTCCTATTATTTTCATTTCTTGAGTGTGCCATTCAACAATGCAAAGCTAGATAAAAAGCCCAGTGAAAAACTGAGGGAACTGTGTGCCTTCAGCGTGAGTTGAAGCTGGTAGATGAACTTGCTCAATGCCTTTCAAAATTCATTTAATCGTACAGTCTTGCCCTCTGTTTCACATCGGCATCAATCACATTACCTGATGAAAGGTGGATGGATGTAGGTCTGCTGTGCATGACTGAATTTTGAAGGCAAAATCTCTTGAAATGAGTCTACCACATAAGAACCCTGTGGACCGGAGTACACTGAGTTGAGCCTGTGGCTGCTCCCTGTGAGGCAGTCAGCACACTCCTGTCACACAGCTGGCTGGAAGCTCCCTGTGTGGGCTGAGGACACACAGATCTGGAAGAAAACTGTGATCCCAGCCACTGCTGAGATGGCACTTTAACAAAGTGTGGGCACAGCTGCTAAAGCACTTCAAATAAGAAACAATTTCAGTTTAGAGATCTTTTCCTCAGCTTGAAAATACTTTATGATGTGGTCAGTGGTGATAAGATAATCACTTGCTTAAAATCAAGCCAGTCCCTACTGATACCTTGGTTACTTCGTCATGTTTTGTTGCAATAGTTTATGCACCTTTTATTAAAGCACATGAGCACTGGTTTGCACATGACTGTAAATCCAGTTTAGAACAGAGCTCAGATTACTGGATACGTACCTGGAGTTAATCAAAAAGAAGACATATTATTAGAAAAGAAACTGTGATGCATTATCAGTGGAAAAATATTCCAGTTAACAGTGTCTGGCCTAACAGTAACTGTGTTCTGTAGAATGAGACACAGCGACGTGCCAGAGGAAGAACTCCCAACTGATTTGGATGGGCTTTCGAGCACTCCTGCAATTATAAACTGTAGTACAGTCTTAAATTATTCATAGAGATTAAATTACATTGACAGCTGGTATAGTCCCTCGCCTTTCTTTTGAGCCAGATGCAACTCTCAGATGGGCAGGTTGCACTTAAAAGGGTGAAAATCCGGCTTTAGCAAAAGTTTTCTTTGACATTGTTGAAGTTTCAGCAGCAAGTTCAAGGATTAAATCTGATCCAATGAATTAATTAATGTCTGAGAGCAAATTTTGACTTTCTGGCTTTAAGAACCTTTTTTTTTCTTTTTAGACTGGTAGAAATTAGCCTTAGCATCTCAGGTGTCTCTTTTATTGGAAGTTAAAACCCCTTTTATTGTGAACTGATTATTTCCATTGTTGTCATTGTAGAATGGGATTAGGGAGTGACAAGGAAAGAGGGGAAAGCCCCTTCATTGCTGCTCAGAGGCTCAACTGTGGGCCAAAGCCTTTTCTTTTGTCCTTTTTAACATTGTCTGTTGAGTGAAATTACCTCAGTAGTTGGTGCAGGG